CCAAAGGATGGGCTTCACTTGTCTCTTTGACGAGTTGTAATATGGTGCTAGGAATGGCGAGACTCACTGACGATGCCGAATACGATGCCGGCGAAACGTTTGGGAATGTACCACTTGCACGATCCGACTTTGGAAATGATTATGCATACAATGGACTCAGGACAAGGTGCTTTCCTCTAAGTCTTCCTACCAATATGACCGAGTTACGAAAACAAGGTCAAACAACTTCTATACAACGAAAGGCGACTGCGACCACACAAAAGGCCACACCATCTTGGTCTTCATACATTCACTCTATTTCGTTTAAGGTGAAGAGGAATCAGTAGTTGGATTTGTCTCACAAAGACATCAATATGCTTTACATTTCCATTGCATTTCTCATAGCTTTTCTTCCACAAAAGGGTTTTATCGTCCAGGCTAGACTGCAGTTTCGACCTCGCCTAAGGAGTGTGACGTAATGGCTAACTTGTAGAGATTATAAGCCACACTACCAGGGTCCAATTCCCACTTGGGGTGCTGAGGAGACTTAGGTCAGTTCGTAACGGCAGTCTATTCTAGATGAGAATACTAGGGGGGAATTCAGTGGAAACGCAAAGGACTACTCATATCATTGTTGAGGATTTCAATTACCAGCACTTCATCATCTTAAACAAAACAGGAGTAAAACCTCTCATATATATGATATACTAGTAGTCTAGAAAACCTACCTATAAAATAAAAATTGATTAATGGACTTAAGGATAGAGAGGGTGTTGAGCAACTGGAAAGAGGCGGCGACCAAAGTTGTATTTTCTTGCCATAGTTATAATTACGGTCACTTTTCAATACATTTTTGTGCACTCTATCTCTCTCACACGAAGACAAAAAGCTCACCAATTGAAGAGTTATGTTCACCCTTTTTCGTTTGAGGTGAAGAAGGACTAGTAGTCCCACAATGATATGAGTAGAGCTGACATTTCCATTGAATTTCATATATCTTCGTTTACACAAAATATGTTCTCATCCAGGGTGGACTACAGTCTCGACCTTGCCTAGATCTTATTAACATCCCCAGCGGGAATCGAACCATGACAATGCAGAGCGTAATCTCGACGGAGTATTCACGCCACATTAGACCGAGGGCCCTTGAGTCACAGGGCAGATGCGAATCTCAAGAAAGGCCATATCACATTTTGTAGTGGGATTGTTGAATAAACAAACCTATCGACGAAATTACATCGAGGAAGCAAGAGAGTCCTCGAAACAACTTTTCTTCGTATATATACTAAACCTTACCGCGTTGGATGACAAAGCGTACCGGCTTGCCTATGGGACAAGCGGTCAGCAGGTGGTGCAGCTGGCTATGAGTGAAATCGGTAACCCTGAAGGCGCCCACTTCGAGGAGGCGGTCGCTAGTTTGCAGATGCACGATCCTCTGGCCCGCAGGCGTATAGCTGGTCGCGGTGGGTCCCACCTGATATGAATGAACGGGTTTTGGGGGTGGGTTGAGATCAGCGGAGAAAAAGTAGTGGAGAACATATTACGATTGACATAAGAATATAAAAAGAGTTTAGACCTAAAATCCCGTATGTTGAAAGTAATCTTCCTCTCTAAATGTTACCTATCGTATACTAATAAGGATAACAATAAATTTACTATATACATTATATATATATATATATATTGTATATAGAGAAAAGGAAAGTAATTCCACTTAAAAGTGTTTGAATAGCCTACAGGTCTTTTGTACAATTATAGCCAATGAATAAAGACATTTTCTGCAAGTCCTTCAGTTGCACTACGCGTCAGATTATGATATAATGGAGAGTTCAGAGTGGGGAACTTATTAATTCTAATAAACGTATACACCTTTCGTGGGCATAATTTTCTCATGGATCTGGATTATCCAAAGTAGCAAACGTTCATCGTCTCCATATCTTAATTTGCTGTAATGGAGTGTGAACCAAGCTAAGACTACTGATTTATTCGTGTTGTGCTCTTATTATTGGATGATGACCTAAGAAGGAAAATGCAGACCACTTATACCGGAACCTGGTTGCTCATTTACTATGACCAGTTATATCATGCGCAATTTAACGTTACTGTCACCTTCATCTTTCTTCACGCTTTATCTGTACTATTCTCCTCTTGACTACAAAAGGAGACATTCAGTTCGTATGAAAGTTCGTAAGTTGATCTCATCAAAAGACGATGACTGAATCCCGTTCTACTGCAGCCGTTTGGCTTTACTTCGACGTTCAGGTTGATGCAGTGAACGGGACATCCTCTCTCACTTTTGGTGAAAACGGGCTGAGTTTTCGTCCATCACATGATAGACATCATCAGAGATGGAATTCCTTCTTGTAAAAGTCTCACGTCAACACTAGGTCAAGAAGACTATCCGGGTCCATCTTACCTCTTATAT